TGTGTGGACAGTTTGTTGTGGAGGGGAAGGAGAGAGCCTGTGAGTCCTGGCATGTCTTTGTTTATTGTTGTTTTTAGGGAGACGTGGGAGGCTTGCTGGTCAGAGGGGAAGGGTTGGGAAATAATATTGTTCAGTATCCATTGTGTATTGAGATGAAGTAAAAGCAGAATTAAATAACGGCCTATTAACTTTATAGTAGTTGTTTGATCTAAAAGCTTTTTTTTTAAAATCTGAGTTGAATGTTCTACATAGTGAAGGTTACTGACTGATAGTAAAAAATGTGACATCTGACAGTTACACAAAGAACAGACGCAAAAACCTCCTTCCAAAATAACTTTTACTTTTAAACCCTCGCACTTTTTCCCCCATTCATTCTCTTAGTTTAGTTTTAGTAAGAGTTTTACGGCACTTACAACTCTTACATTGTTGTGTTGTTTAGACAGTTTGTTGTTGAGGGGAAGGAGAGAGCTTGTGAGGCTTGCTGGTTAGAGGGGAAGGTTGGGAAATATTTGGATATCTTTTGTGTAGTGAGATGTAGTGAGGACATGATTAATGACGGCCTTGTTTAGATGAAACTTGTTTGGTCTAAAGACTTTTTCTTTTCAATCTGAGTTGACAATTGGGCACCGTGGAAGTTTCTGACTTGGAAAATATTTGGATATCCATTATGTATTGCAATGAAGGTGCGAACAAATTAACAACAGTCAAGGTTATATTAAAGTCTCCCTGTCTCTAAATGGGTTTTATCCCTTTTGTGGAATTTTTTCTTTTTTTTTCTGTTGGACAGAGCCTGTCAGGGGGGTTCTCGTGGCCTAGAGGTTAAGGTACCCACTTCTCATTCAATAGGTCTCGGGTTCGAATCCGGATAGCAACGGAACATTTTCTTCTCTAAGATTTCACCTTCTTTCACCGTCTCCACTTTCTGCCCCCCCCCCCCCCCCCCACCCTTTACCCCCTCCTCTGGGCGTCTGACTCTTTCTGCAGCCTTTGAACTGCTACTCCTTGGCTCTTTCTTATCACTGTCTTTCAGCCACACACCTGATCTTATTGCAGGTAAGATCAAACACTTAGCCTTCTCGGATTGGGTCGAAAAATTTCGGAGGTCCCGTGTGAAAATTGTGAACGTTAAAGACCCTTGGTGGTCCAAAATCGGTAAGAGCAGGCTTTGATCGCTCTGGCAAAATTCAAAATTTCCTATCTACTGAAAATGTTTAATGTGTCCCGCACATTCATATATGACCTTATGCAGTTGCGAGCGCGTAAAACACACACAAAAAAAATAAAAATAAAAAAGAACCTGTCAACCCTGACACGCCTTTGTTAATAATTGTTTGGAAAAACTTGTGAAGCTTGCTGGTTAAACCGATGCGTTGGAAAATAATTTGAATGTTCATTGTTCATTGCGTGTTGATATGTAGAAGGGACCAAATTTAATGATGGCCTAGTTAATTACAAATTCTTTGGTATAAAGACTTTTGTGTCTCAGTTGACAAATCAGAACCGTGAAGGTCACAAGGTTCTATGGAAAATTTGATGACTATGGGAGTGACAAAAATAACAGGGCCTCAATAATTCCAAACAATAGCTTAATTTACCCCCCCCCCTCCCCTTAAAAACCGAGTGTTTCTTTTTTTTGGGGGGGGGGGGGTGGGAGGGGGTGAGGTGCTAAAAGTAATTTTTTTCAAATTAAAATATTTTGTTCTCCTATTTTCAATCTTAGTTGTCCCTTTGTCTCAGCCAGTAACAAGGTTTCTGTTGAGAACATAGCCCGTTGATGACTTGTAATAAATAAACTTAAGTTGTGATCATAACCGCATAATTTCGCCAGGAATTGTTCTTTAAATCAAGAGATTCGTCAGTGCTCAAATCAGCCTACGTTTATAGATTTATTGAAGACTTAAACTTGGCTCATCTGTACTGCAGTTCAGTGGAAACAAAGACAACTTCGTCCATTGTGTACCCCGGCTTTGGTTCAGGTTGTTTTTGGAGACCTGGGGCCCGCTGCTTAGAGGGGAGGGTTGGAAAATGTTTGAATACTCTTTGTGCGTTGAAATGAAGGAGGGGCACAATTAACTGACGGTCTATCTTGAAGTAAAGTTTGTTTGTTTGTTTGTTTTAATCAAAAGACTGTTTTAATATTTTGAATTGCATATTCAGCAGAGTAAAGGTCATTGAGCAATACGAAAAATGTGATAGTTGCGGAAATGACAGACGTCTTGAAGTTCCAAACAATAACTTTCACTTTTACACTCTCATATTTTTCTATCATTTGTTTTCTGATTACTGGTTTTTCGTCAACTGATTTTTTTAATGAATTGATTTTCAACCTTTTCCTCCTTACAAGTTATGCCTTTGTCCCAAGCAGGGGAAAGTGTCATACCGAGACCAAAGCCCATTGGTAACCGTCACTGTAGTAGTAGATAGACTGGCCCAAGTAGGTATCGAATAAAGACATCCACTGAAGTACTGAACTAGCAAAGGTCGTATGGAATAGTGCACGGGCATGGAGGTATCGAAAATTGACCGGGCGAGGGAGGTACCGAGTAACGACGGGTTAGGGGTTAGGGGTTAGGGGTTAGGGGTTGTTTAAGGACGCCCTTACCTATCAGATATTATGGTATTTAGAACAGCTAAATTTCTTTACAAGCAGTTAAAGCACACCAGCCCACACGTCCTGTTAATTAACCTAATAATGTTGATAGGGGCGTGAAACCTATGTTTCCAGTAATGGCCTTCGGACACCGGGTCAACGACTTTTCCCAGTACAGGTGACATATGGTCAAATATTAAGTGAGCGAGCTGCTAGAATGTTAAAAATATAAAATCTCCATTTTGAAACGACAGGCAAAACGTTTGAACCCACACCTCCCAGTAATCAGGCTTACACTCAACCATAAATGTTAATTAATTTACAGACAAAGGGCTAGTCAAAGCACTGAACCTTTCATTCTAAAGCATTTTGTTTTAACCAATCAGCTTTCGTTAAGATATTAGTTTAAATAATAGGCCTATAACTCGCTGTCGTCCATATAGATCTATACTTGATAGGCCAATGACAGCGAACAGTAGCACACAGCTGCGCCTAACCGGATACATAACGCCTCGTGTCACGTCTGTGCGCGGAAACGTCATGACTAAAATTGTCTCCTTCCACCTCCTATCTTGCTCTCCAACAATGTTATGTCGTCTGCTTTCGGCTCCAATTTCTGCCCCCACCCCTTCACCCCTTTTGCCCCCTCCTCTGGGCTCCTGACTCTTTCTGCAGCCTTTCTATTGCTACTCCTTGGCTCCTTCTTACTGCTCTCTTTCAGCCACACCCCTCATCTTCTGGTAGGAAAGACCTACACCTAGCCTTCTCGGACAAGGGCGAAAAATCTCTGAGGTCCCGTGTGCAAGTTGCGTACGAAAAGATCACTTGGTGGTCTTAAATCGATAAGAGAAGACTTAAAATTTCCGACCGCCTGAAAATATTTGGTGTGTCCTGCCTGCTCATTTGACCTCATGCAGTTGCGAGGGACATAAAACACTTACCAGAGAAAAAAAATACTATTATATTAGTAGTAGTAGTAGTAGTAGTAGTAGTAGTAGTAGTAGTAGTAGTAGTAGTAGTAGTAGTAGTAGTAGTAGTAGTAGTAGTAGTAGTAGTAGTAGTAGTAGTAGTAGTAGTGGTAGTAGTAGTAGTAGTAGTAGTAGTATATAATATATCTTTGTTGACCAGTAGGCATATAGATATGTATATATGTTCATATATATCTATATCTTTATATATATATATATATATATATATATATATATATATATATATATATATATATATATATATATATATATATATACAGAGAGAGAGAGAAAGAGAGAGAGAGAGAGAGAGAGAGAGAGAGAGAGAGAGAGAGAGAGAGAGAGAGAGAGAGAGAGAGAGAGAGAGAGAGAGAGAGAGGGGAGGGGGGAGATGTAAAGCAGGCATGAAAAGCTTCTAAAAATTGCCATCTCCTTGTAGCAATTCTTAGCAATAACTGCTGGTGTATTTCTGATCTACTCGTCGCCCGTGTGGCTTTGGCACGACGATCTGCAGCTTTCTTGTTGGGGTTTTACGGCGCTTGAAACTGCAATAAGATCAAATGAACGCGCGAGACACATTGAACATCTTCAGTTGGTAGGAAATTTTGAATTTTGCCCGGGTGGCGGCCGAAGCCTAGTGTTATTGATTTTGGACTACCAAGGGATCTTTAACTTGCACAACTTGCACTCGGGACCTCTGAGATTTTTCGCTATTAACCGAGAAGTCATTGTGTTAATCTTTCTTACCATAAGGGGTTAGGCTGAAATACAGCAGTAAGAAACCAAGCAGTATCCGTAGTGAGGCTGCAGAAATAGTCAGGTGAAGAGGGTGGGGGCAGAAAGGGGAGACAAAAACAGACGACAGAACATTGATAGAGAGCAAGAGAGGATGTGAAAGGAGACCCTTTTAACGAATAATATTTTCCAGTCGCTATCCGAATTCGAACCCGGGCCATATTGAATGAGAGGTGAACACCTTAACCTCTAGAACACGGGAGCCCCCATCTGAATCCGAAGGCTTACACCATCAAGTATTGCTTTCGACCTTTACAACAACCGCTAAAAAAATTAATTGATGACAAACTTGTTGTCAATACGTCTCTAAAATATATCTACTAAACAAAGATTTCTTTTTTTAAAATCCGCTTTATTTCTTCCCTTGAGAAATTCGTTTTACAATCGCTGACATAAAATACAAAGAACGGCCCCCACCCCTATAGGTACAAAAAGAACCCCTACACATCATAAACATGGAGAATCAACACTATACAGCTCTCTACTTTTGAGCTAGGATGATCCTGTTTTAACAATTTAGTGCGCTCACTAGTTGTATAAAAACAATAACTTAACGGGAGAACTTTGCACCCACGAGTCGTTAGTGTGTGTGTGGAGGGGGGGGGGGTGTTTTTGTTTGTGTGTTTGTGTGTCCTGTGTATGCGCGCACATTCAATAATTCTGTATTAGTTCACAAACTGTCGTCTTGTTGAGTCTCTGCAATGTCCTGTCCAGGACGCGTGCCAGTTACCCCATCTATATTTTGTTCACTTTCGGCTACCTGCATTGAAGGAAAAAATATTTTTTTAAAACATTATAGAATTCTGGCTCATTTATTAATTTACCAAGCCAACGAAACCCCACAAACTGGCTCTTTTGCAGGCCAGCATCCAAACATTTTTTAAAAATCGTGATCCACTAATATAAAACGTTTCTCTATGTTGGACCTATAGTAAAACTGCATACACATGATCACTAAAATACATGAGTTACAGTAGCCTAGACTACAAATACCTCATATAGATAGATAGATAGATAGATAGATAGATAGATAGATAGATAGATAGATAGATAGATAGATAGATAGATAGATAGATAGATAGATCATATTTCTTCATTTTGTATCTTTGTTTGCAGAACTACTCTCTAAGTCCCAACTTGAAGGCTAGATTCACAAACGTCTATCAACAACTTTGACTTGGAAAGGTCCAGGTTTTCTCGTAACTCCCATGACGTCAGTTATCTTTGGAGGGGCATCTGGGTTTGGGGCCAAACATTGGAACCGCTGACACATTGAGGAGAGGTACAGAAACAGTTCCATCTTCGCCAGGGCTTCCCCAAGACACGCTCTCCTGCCCAACGAAAATGGGATAAATTCTTCCAAATGTCTTAGGTTACCCATCTCGTCAATAAAACGTTCTGGCCGGAAAGTGTCAACATCCTCCCCCCAAATGGTTTTGTCGAAAAAGATTGACGTCATATTCCCTATAATATTTGCTCCTTTCGGTATTCTGAATCCTCTGAAAGAAGTATCTCGTGAGCACATATGGGGTAGACCCATAGGGGTGATATTTCCAATCCTCTGGGTCTCCATAATTGCAGCGTTCAGATATTTTAGTTTGCTTCTGTCTTGCATGGTTGGAGTCCTCTCTGTACCTATCTCAGTGTTGATCTCAACGAAGATTTTCTTTTGTACTTGAGGGTAGTGCTGAATATAGAGGAGAAACCAGTTGATGGTAGTGCTAGTTGTCTCAACTCCTGCCACTAAAAGATCTTCTATGACCTTCGCCAAGTTTTTCTCATCAAGATAGGTCGCCTGTCCACTTTTATCCTGTTTGTTTTTCTCAAACACGTAGTTAGCAATAAAGCTATCCATATTTGTTTCGCTGTATTCTTTACGACCTTTAAGATCTTTGAAGTAATGAACGAACAACTCACCAATCTCTTTTATGTTCTTCAAGATGATATCAGTGTTGAAAATATCACCAGGGAGGTAGTGTAAAATGGGGTACATACTGAGGAGAGTAGGCCCAACACCAGCTGCAGCTGATAAGTTGTAGTTGATCAGCTCTATAACTCTTTTAAACGTCGGGTCATCGTAGTCAAACCGCTGCCCCACTAACACAGAACAAATCACGTTGGCGACGCTGATGTTTGTCAGAAGGCGGACGTCTTGTGTCTCGTCCAACTCGCTGAGACGTGTGAGGTACTGCGCCACCTCCTCCTGTATCGTCCCAGCCAGAACGTTCCTGCCCATGCCCATGTCTCGGAGAATACTTAACGACACGGATCTCTGTTGTTTCCAGTTTGGGCCTGATGACATTATAATGCCCAGTCCGTGGCAGTCACCTGCCTGTGGAAAGAAGGAAAAGCAAATATAATATGTAAAAAATATGAGAGGGTTATCTTTCTTTTCCTGTTTTGAAGCGCAAATAAGTGGCGTCGGTAGCCTAGTGACCACGTTACCGGACTCGTAATCGCTATCAACATATACACAGTAATCTTGAACAGAAAGTTGAGGGAAGCAAAGACATTAATTTATTCTACTGGATTTGTTAAAAAGTGTCCGAGCAGTGAAATGAGGTTTAATGAATCAAGGTCCATGACGTCAGTGTCAGATTTCATTACAGAAGAAATGCTTAAGGTTTACTTTCTCGGTTTTTTTTTGGTTTTTTTGTTTTGTTTGTTTGTTTGTTTGGTTTTTTTTTTGTTTTGTTTTTTTTGCCGAGTGGATTTGACGAAGCGAGAAAGGTGTATTAAGCCCAGTTTCGATTAATTAAAATTAATGTTCTCGTCGTGTGTGAAAGCTGCAAGAAAATAATGATGAACTTACCCAATCGAAGTAAGAGAATGGGCGGTCTGAGAAATCGTCTCCTCTCTTTACAAACGCCTCCTTGATTACGTCATAGCCATTGAGTACTATGACCACTGTGGGACCCAGGCGCAAGCTGAAAGGATTGCGAAATATAATTTGCCATTGCTTCTTTTCAATGGAAGACAGTTATCATCTGCATTGAAAGATAGTATTACTCTTTCATAACGGCTTTGATTATTTGACGATTTGACGGATTCACTCAGAGTTCTTGGAAAGTTCAAAGGAAAATAACTCTCACCTACTGAATAGAATTACCACGATAGAGTTACACACTATTCAATATGCATATCTTCAGGAGGAATAGAATCTTTTACGTCTTGACACTTGGCAGACGGCCTTAGAGCAGTATGTATACACACATACACACACACACACACACACACACACATACACACACACACACACACACACGTACACACACATACGCATACGCACACACACACACACACACACACACACACACACACACACACACACACACACATACACACCCGTATACACACACACGTACATATGCATACACACACACACACACACACATACACATAGACACACACACACACACACACATACACATAGACACACACACACACACACACACACACAATAGAGAGAGAGAGAGAGAGAGAGAGAGAGAGAGAGAGAGAGAGAGAGAGAGAGAGAGAGAGCATGCTGAAGAGCGTTGGTTAGCGCTATACAAATGCAGACAGTTATTATGACAATAAAAAGCTGTCTTGGACACATTTCGGTTGTTTACCTGAAAATATCACCCAGTTTCTCTCGCCATTTTTGCATCTGACTTCGAGGATCCTTGGGGTTCATGGCCAGCAAGTGGCCTACAACAGGCAGTGAGACAGCGGGCGAGGGCGGGAGACCTCTGTTAGACAGGTAAACCCACGTGACGTAGACTGAGACCAGGAGGATGACCAACGTCAAGAAAACACTTGTGCTGTCCATGGCGTCAGAAATGTTCGAATGTAGCGTCCTTGACCTTGACCTTTGGAGAACACAGAAATTGAACAAACTTCAGCTAGTAGATGCCGTTTTATTGTTTGTTGTTGTTGTTGTTGCTTTTGTTGTTGTTAATATTGTTGTTGTTGCTGTTGTTGTTGTGGAAGATGTTGTTGTTATTGTTGCTTTTGTTGTTGTTGTTGTTGTTGTTGTTGTTGTTGTTGTTGTTGTTGTTGTTGTCGTTATTGATATTGTTGTTATTGTTGCTTTTTTGTTGTGTATGATAATGATGTTGTTATTGTTGTTATTATTGTTGTTTTTAGGTTGTTGTTGTTGGTGGTAGTGGTGCTTTTCTTATTGTTTTCGATCGTACTAACTATGATAATTAGAATGTCTTCTTATATGTAAGCGTTTTTCTACAGAGCGCATAAATGCACATTATGTATAGATTGCAAGCCTATTTCCAAGATGATCTTATTTGCAACACTTTAAAAAAAGCACAATTTGGTTATTCATATTCTTAATTCTATCATCTTAGCTTGAGACTTTTTATCAGCCGGATGGGATATGAATATTATTGTTCGTGTTACTGAATTGTGTCTGATATTTGGAACTGCCTCAACATTGCATTTGGTTTACCGCTGATCAGACATGTATCCAATACGTATGTTGCCAGTCTTAGAAATGGGCTTGCAATATGTATGCATGAATGTGCATGCATACGCTCTTTAGATTAGCCCTCAAGCAAAAGGAGACATTCTAATTAGAATAGCTCGATCAGAAGCGATATTATAGACATCACATTGTGGTTAATACATGTCGAAACTAAAATCTACTAAATTCTTAGATAAACAAGATCCGTAAAGCTGTGTGTACAGAAGAAATATTCCCGTTGTGAGACTGCCAGGCTGAAACGGTCTCACACTACCTCTATACCTTCCCTGCACTTAACGACCTGTGAAGTACCCACCTACCTATCTACCTGCCTACCTACCTGCTTACCTATCTACCTGTCTACCTACCTTCCTACCTACCCAGATGTCGGAAACACTCTATACAGCAACAAAACACAGCTGGTAATAACCTGCAAATTCTTTGCTATATCGACAGACCAAAAGACGATAACTCAGATGGCCGCTAGATCAGAAAAGTGAAATAAATAAATGATTAAAACTAAGACGGAACAACACCTTTTGCAAATGCATAACAATAACAACAGAAGAAATAACACATTTTTATTCTGCAGCAGCGATATACAGAAGCAAAAATAATTCATAATGCGGGGGGAGGCGAGCTGACAAAATGAGTTACTTCTCGTAATGCACATGAACAGATTGGCCAAAAATCAACACTAGGGTCAAATTTGTACATTATCTTTTGATGTCATATTTTCATTTTGAAATGCTTTTATTATTTCATACTTTTATAAATTGTAAAAAACCACATATAAGCATGATGTATCTATTTCCATTGGGCTCACATTCGAGAAATAACTCATTTTGTCAGCACGCAAAAATAGTAACAACACGACAAAAGTGAAAACACGAAGATGTGTACCACATTGAAAATTGGAATCCACACACATACACAGTTCGTTCAACACCTTGACTATTGCTAGCTGGTCAAGAAGTAGGATATCTGCGTGTAACCAGGTCAAGCGGCAGGTACTATTATACCTTCAGGGCCACAGATTTGGGAACAGGCACCGGCGTTTGTGGTGTGGCGGTCAAAGGTTTCGCTGTAGCACGTAGCAGGAGACCCGAGTTCGTTTCCCGAGTGGGAAGAATTTTTATAGAGTATCTCCATCTTTCCGCTGAGATATTGCACGCATTATCGAGGCCTGTCTCCTAATTGAATTAAATTGTGTCTATAGGGGCGTAAAAATGCCTGCACTGCACATGTACATTATGAAAATGGTAAATACCTTAACAGAGCGCTGTGTTTTCTGGTTTGGTTTATCGATGGTTTGGTTCGGGATAACCTGGGGTAAAAAAACAACAACAAACAACAACAACAACAACAACAACAACAACAACAACAACAACAACAACAACAACAACGACAACAGCAAAATAACAACAACAACAAGAATAACAACAACAACAACAAACCGAAAAAAAACCTCCAATGACTCATAGGCCTTGTAGCTTGTTAACTTGTCGTCTCCCCTTTCGTCTGGCCGAGTTTGGTCCTCGACCAAAATAATTTTAAAAAAAATTAAATGTTGATCTAGATCTAGTAATTTTAAAACATTACATTTTTCTTTATTCATATAAAACTTTTGGGTGCCTACACAGTATCATCATACGAAGTTATTTACATTTACAGTCCTTCGCCTACAAAAAGAGTACACGGGTCGGCCCCAGACACTCTGACTCTAAACACTAAAAGTTCCCTGCTATAAGAACAAAGTTATTCTTGTGTTGCAAATTACTTCTTGTGGATACTCTGTCTTCCTGTCCATGTTCTACGGCACGGAATCCCTCGACCCATCGTGCGATAACTGTTACAGTGACACATTTCTTGATTAGGGACCTCGTAACCCAGGGGAGGGGAGAGCCCGAGTCTTGCTCAACTTGCTGAGCAAAATTTTTAGACACACCGTTTCCTGTGTATAGATCCTGTGTATGGAGTGGGCTTGTGTATGGGGCTTGTGGATGTGTGCTGTGTATGGGGTTCTGAGTATGGTCCTGGGGGGGGGGGCATGTGTATGGGTACTGTGTATGGTCCTGTGTATGGTCCTTGTGTATTGGGCACAGTGTATGAGTCCTGCGTACAAGTCCATGACTTTCTGTTAGTGTTGCCACGCATAATGGCTCGTCATTATTATCACTACCTTTCTCACCCTGCATCATAATACTGGCAACAAACAAACTTTCTCACCCTGCATCACGTTATAAGCCTCGAACAAACAATTTTCGTATTGTTCTATCGCAGGCTAGTCTCTTGGAGCTATTCCGTGTCTTCCCACGTTTCTGTACATCAATATCAGTGACTCTTTTCACGGTTCCACAAATCCTTCAGATGTGTGTAACTTGGGCGGTCGATCGTGCACTTTTCATCTTGGTTATACTATTTTAGTTTTTTAGCCTGCTTAGATATAGGAACCAACTCGTCATTGAGTTTTAACATACGTGCTTGCATTGTATCGGTTTGTCTGTACGCCCAAATAAATATCCAAACTTATTTGTGTTATAAAAAGCTGAAAGTTTCTTTATTACTTTGTCCTCAAACTTTTTTTTTGTAACTTGGGCCGTCGGTCGTTACACTTTTCGTAATTGTTATAAATTTTAAGTTTTTGTGCATGCTTAAATGTAGACACCAACACGTTTTGAGTTTAACATATTATATATATTTCGTCTCAGCCTTTAAGATAGGCAAAGAAAAGACTTTTAAGACCTGTCCAAACCAAAAGTCAAAGACACGGAGGGAGAGCTTTTCCACACCACGCCCCTTCCCTGAGGAACGCTTTGTCAGCTCAGCTACCGGAGTCTACCACCTTAACAAAATTCAAATCAGAACCTAAAACGCGTCTGTTTCAGTCCAGCTTCAACCTGTAATTTCCGACATTCCCAATACAAATATTATTAATATGTTCTCTCTGTATCTATTATTTTCGGTCTTCTGTTCTGTAACAATTTATGACTGTGTGATGTCATTAATGTGTACGAGGGCGTCTGGGTAAGTTTTGTGGGATTGTAAATGGTGAGATGGTATAGGTGCAACACCCCTGTCAACACTATAAGGTTATTTAAGAGGCACGGCCTCCGAGTTTAACGTCCATCTCCGAAAGGACCGAGCCAATATATGAGAAATTCGTGTTAAGTGCCTTTCCCAAGGACACAACGTCAGACCGAGGTGAGGCTCGAACCCCCGAACCCGCAATCTCACGATTACGACTCCGGTAGCCTAACCACTAGGCTACCGATGCCACTCTGTGGGACTGTCTTTACTCAAGGATATACTGAAGAGAAAGAGAGAGAAAGAGAAAGAGAGAGAGAGAGAGAGAGAGAGAGAGAGAGAGAGAGAGAGAGAGAGAGGGGGGGGGAGAGGGAGAGGGAGAAAGATAACCTGTTTACATAAAATGAACACCTAATTGAGTAGAAATTAATGAATGATCAGATCAGTAAACATACAGTCTGTTTATAGATAACATGAATTTGTCAAGATTTGGAAGACTCTTTTTTATTTGACTTTAAACAATTGAGTCAACTACAGAACTGGCGCGCCTTCAACTAAGAGTAAAATGAGGAGAGAACAATCTTCCCAGGCGCCAATAATGAACGGAGGGGAAAGCCAGTGAGATTGACCCGTTCATGTGTGTGTGTGTGTGTGTGTGTGTGTGTGTGTGTGTGTGTGTATGTGTGTGTGTGTGTGTGTGTGTGTGTGTGTGTGTGTGTGTGTGTGTGTGTGTGTAAAATAATATTTGTTTTATATAATATATTGTAATAACCAATATATAATATATATATATATATATATATATATATATATATATTTATATATAAATACATACATATTATACATGTATATAAGTGTGTGTTAGTGTCTGTGTGTGTATATATATAAATATATATATACATATTATGTATAATATTATACATCAAACTAGACAAAGATGACACGAATACATCGCGCAAGTGCAGGAGCGTTACGTCATAGTATCCTTATTTTTGTCATCTCTATCTCTATCTATACATATTATATTTGTGAAAGTCCGACACTTTGGCCGCCTAAAACTTCCGAACCACTTAACTTTCAAATTTGACAAAATTAATAGTGGTTCAGAATCATTTAAAGGGTGCACAGTATTATATCAGTCACTGTAGTTTAATTTTCAGTTTTTCATTAGTTTCGTTTAGATCTAATCTTGGGAAAGTCCGTCCTCTTAGACGCCATTGTAAAACAAGTGAGGCTCCCGTTCACGAGCCGTGCGCACTGCTTCCACTCCTTTGAAATTCTTGAGTGTACAATCACGAAAGCGGAATAGAGCATCAATCTATACATCTCTATATTATTATCTAGACCTTTTAATTTTTGGCATCTCTCAAGATTTATTGCTCCATTCCAGTAGAGTGTAAATATAGTAGGCTAATGATTTTCAGTTGATGTTAATGCACCGATCATTCCTTTCATCAAAAGGGGGTTCATATTAATTTATGCACCTTCTCACAGGACTAATGCCTCTAGACAATTCTTGGAAAAACAAGTCAAACCAACTATGCTGTGTTCACCAGTAAAAAGCCCCGATATGAATTATACAGACATGTGAAGAAGCTCCATGTAGATCTAATAGAGGCTGAAGAAACACAACTTTGCTCCATCAGATTCTTGTTAGCCTAGTCTTTGTGACATCTGGGATGAACCAACTGATAATTCTGTCCAAATTTTAATACAGTCCAAACCCCAAAGATTCGTGCCCTTCACAAAACCAGTGTTTCATGAACAAAATTCTAATGAGCACATGTAATGTTAGGTCCACATTTTTTGGTCGTATTTCTAACTACTCTATTTTCCAGTCATTTTAAAACTATCGTAAGAAAATATCGTTCACTGCCAACCAATTAATTCTCCATTCATTTAATATTCAATACATATGATCCATTCCACCAATGTTGGTGCACTTCAATACACGCACAAACACACTGTTCAGTTTTCTTGTTTTCTCCGAATTTTACCATGTCAGATTTTTATTGAGCTTAACTTTGAATGATCATTATAGTAGATGCAATTTTTATATTTAAGTGGCAGATGATGCAGACTTGTTTTACTGTGAAAGTGGTGTGCTTCATGAATGGGTAGTCAAGGGTTTAACACGATGATTGGATGAATACATTTTCAAGTGTGTGCATGCATGTGTGTGTGTGTGTGTGTGTGTGTGTGTGTGTGTGTGTGTGTGTGAGAGAGAGAGAGAGAGCGAGAGAGAGAGAGAGAGAGAGTGAATTTGTGCGTGTCTGAGTGTCTGTATGTGCGCGCGCGTATGTGTGTGTGTGTGTGTGTGTGTGTGTGTATGTATGCGCGTATGTGCGTGCGTGTGTGTGTGTATGTGTGTGTGTATGTATGCGCGCGTGTGTGTGTATGTATGGGTGTACGTGTACGTGTGTGTGTGTGTGTGTGTATGTGTGTGTGTATGTGTGTGTATGTGTGTGTGTGTATGTGTGTGTATGTATATGTACGTGTGTACGTGTGTGTGTGTGTGCGTGTGTGTGTGTGTGTGTGTATGTGAGTATGTGTGTGAGTGTGTGTGTGTGTGTTTATTACATCTAATATCTAAGCTTCTTTAATGCAAATAAAAGCAGTTCAGTATACGGACTGAAAAAGCTGGTTAGCTAATTAAAACCTGTTACACAATTACTCAACAAATAAGAGGAAAAACGCAATCTGAAAGTCAAGGACGAATCTGTTTACCCGTGGTAGTCTGCCGCTGCCCGATGGTGACGTCACTGTACAGCACGTCTTACTTGGAAAAGATATAATGAATATGAGAATCAATCTTTAGAAAAAATATAATTGTTTTTACGTCCCCATTGAAACACTTTAAATCGTTTTGGAGGTGGGCTTCAGACCCTATCTGGGGGGGGCTCTCGTGGCCTAGAGGTTAAAGTGTTGGCCTCTCATTCAAAGGTCGTGGGTTCGAATCCGGGTAGCGACCGAAAAATTTTCTTC